AGCCCGATGCGGGACTCGATCCCGGGACTCCAGGATCATGACCTGAGCCGAAGGCAGTCGCTTAACCAACTGAGCCACCCAGGCGCCCCTGTCTTTTCCAAAATTTAAAAAATAAGCATGGATCACACTTATAACCCCCCCCATAAAAGCTTTTAGTTGTGGTAGATGTTGTTAAAATACAAAAATAACAACACAAACTGTAGAAGCAAAGAAGAAAAGATAAACTTTAAGGTGTCAAGGAGGAGGAGAAAAGCTTCCAAAAGGAATAATGTTACAATTGCAGGTTCCTGAACAAATAAATGAATCATAGATAGAGCCAAGAATACACCATAAAACCAATGCCATAGTAACTACAAATCTCCACAATTATTCAAAAAAGTAAAACTGTTTTCGAGGCCCTACAAAATATACATATCACACTGATTATCTAAAGACCTGCAAGGAACTTTTAAGTGTACGCATCACATACTAAACAACACACACGACTTCACAACTTTTCGGACACCCCGAGGCGTGGTAGGTCAGCTACAGTAAACAGTACACATTTAATGGACAATAGTTTTGTTCACTTTCCACTTTCAAAGTGGGGCACTGCTTCATCTCATGCCTTCCCTTTCTCTGAAGCAAGGAGGGATGTTCAAGATCACTCCTTGAAGCTCAGTGCTGAGCATGAGGGGTGTGATTTAAGTGTCTGCTTTTGATAATGATGCTGCCTCTTTGACCGAAAGTTATTTTATTTTATTAGTTTTTGAAAGTCATTTTAAATATCTGGAAGGGCTGACCTGGCCTCCTCTCCGTTCTCTCTGTCTGTGTATTGAGAGCCACAAGGCAGGGATCAGCATCAGGGTTAACCCAGGCTCCAGGAAGGCTGCGGCAGGCCTTCCTGCCCTCCCCTTCCTGCGGACCGCCCGGCAGCCGTAAGTAACTAAGTGACGCGCTCGGTGCACAGAGCACGCTGCTCCTGGGTGGCTCTCTTCATCTGGGATGGTGGTGAGAAAGGGATGGCTGGGAAATGAGGGGCAGGAAAAGATCTTTGCTATGAGCTGCTCCAACTTCCAAGAGCCACCACCACGGACATGGAGGGCACACTCTGTGCCTGGAATTACTGCAGAGATGGATTAATTGTATGTAATTGTTGCAACTGTGAGAGGTAATATCATGCCCATTCTATAGACCAGAAAGCAGAGAATCAGAATCAGTGAGCCTCCGAAACTTAACAGTGTATTTGTTTGCTAGGGCCGCCATAACGAAGTGTCGCAAACTCGGTGCCTTAACCAGTTGATTGCCTCATGATTCTGGGGGCTGGAGATCTGAGAATAAGGTGTCCACAAGGTTGGTGCTGGGGGCTGTGGGGGGGATCTGTTCCACGCATGCCTTTCTCCTAGATTTTGATGTTTGCCAACATCACCCCAATCTCTCCCTTCATCTTTGATGGCATTCTCCTAGGTGTGTGCCTCTGTGTCCAAATTTCCCCTTTTCATAAGGACAGTAGTCATATCGGATTAGGGCCCCCTCTAATGACCTCATTTTAACTCTATTTCATCTGTAAAGACCCTATTTCCAAGTAAGACTACCTTCTCTGGTACTGGGGGTTAAGACCTCTCTTGGGGCGGGGGAGGTGGACAGGAAAATCTCACCTCTGAAGAGTTACGGAGCCAATATTCAAAACCTAGACAATCTGACACCAGCTCTTCGCCAAACCCTACGCTACCTGCTACCTGGCTCTGCCTGGCCACTAGGCTGTCTCCTGTGGGCCACATCTATCACATGGAGATCAGCAACTAGAGAAGATGGAGCCCACTTACCACTTCTGTGGATTTCCTAAGTATAATCTCACATTTTCTGTGCTTTCCCCTCGAGGAACATGCTGAGAGCGCAAGTCTTTTTTTCCATGTAGACACTGATGGACGTTTGCTCTAATAAAGGACTATCCCCCTTTCCACCATCCACCTCTGCAGGAAGCACAGTTCCCGCTGGTGCCCCTCCGACCCATCCAGCCCTTCCTCTGGAGAAGAGAAAGGGCACTGCTGTTTGCATGCTAATGAGCCCGACACACCGCATTTTCCAGTTCTCACAATGACAGCCTACACCTGTCACTCTGTGTGCCAAGCAGGGAAGGCTGCGGATGCCACAGACACAGGGGAGGAGGTGCAGGAGGAAGGAAGGTAGGCAAAGTGCTCAACAATTCATCATGATTTGAGTACCTGCACCTTCCTGCTATTTTTTTTTTCATTTTAATTTAAAGAGCACCATTAGTATAACTCTCAATTAGACTTTGTCTTGGTTCTCTCACCAGAAGATCATCAACTCTGAACAGCAGTGCGTCAAACCTGACTTGGGTAATATTGGGATCCAGTTCACCCTTTTCCGGGGTCTCGACCCCTCAAGGTGGATGAAGCTGTCACTAGCAGAAACAGCAAGTGCAAAGGCCCTGAGGCAGGAGCTTGCTGTCTGTGTTGAAGGACAAGCAAGGAGGCTGGTATAACAGTGAGAACAGTGAGACGTGAAGTCAGAGATCGTGTGTGGGGGGATAATGGGACTGCAGGTATGGAGGGCCTTCTGGGCCACCGTGGGGATTTTGGCTTTGACTCTGAGTGAGACATGAGCCGTTGGAAGGCTCTGAGCAGAGGAGAGATGTGATCAAAGAAAACAGCTTAAAGAACCACTCTGGCTGCTCTGTGGAGAATGACCAGGGAGGGTGAAGGCAGAGCAAGAGACCCTTTAGATGGGGATCTCAGTGAATCCAGGTGGGAGGCAGAGGTGGCTCAGCCGCGGGTCACATTCTGGAGATGTTTGGAAGGGAGAACCAATGGGATTTGTTGTTGATCCTTCCAGGGAAGCCAGATGTGTGGCAGGCAGGGTCGCTCGTGTGGGCCCAGCCAGCAGCATCTCTCAATGTGACAAGCACGGTGTCGTGGCTTTGGGACGGACATGCCTGTGTGTGGCTCCTCACTCCATCCACACTAATAGCTCGTCTTGAGTGGGTCACATTGACTCTCTAAGTCTCCCATTTTTTCATTGGCAAACTGGGGACTCCTTATATCACGGGATTATTGGGAAAATTAAGTGAGATACTGTAACATGAAAAGGGCAGCCACAAGGGTAATATGATTATTTAAAATAATGCAGCTTCCCCTGCGCCCTGGAAATTGAGCAGAGGCCCATGGATGGGAAAGCAGACTGTGAGGGCGGAGGGAATGCACAGGAGGGGCTTGGGCAGAGCCGGGGGAGGTGGGGGGCAGCCCAGACAGCGCTGAGCGCCTGGCTGGGGGGTGAGCAGGTATCCAGAGCACACACTTGCCTTCCCAACTGAGGCTAGGGGAGTCCAGAGCCTGGGCAATTTGGGGCGGGGGCGGCTTTTAGAGAAAAGATGGCTAGAGGGAACTCCTTGGATGAAGGTGGAGCAGTGGAAAATGGGAACACCCCCAAATTCTGGAGAGGATGAGGTCATCCAGCTGAAGCCAATCAAAACTCTCCCCTGGGCAGGCAAAAAAGGGTTTTACTAGGCCAAAAACTGTGGAGATGCCTAGCAGCTGCCAAGAAAGGAGGCGAGGCGAGTTCTGGGCCCAAGGCCATGAGCCCCAGAGGCCCCACCCTGGCTAGAAAAAGAGACTAGGGGAGTGTTGGGGGGCAGCCCAGAAGCCAGGGGAGGGAGGCCTGTCTGAATTGTCTGGTGATGATGGGGTATTCTCCTGGAAAAACCGTTAGCTCCTGGTCAGAGGCTGACAGAGCTCTGTGCACCAGGGCTCTGCAATTTTTTTTTTCCTTAGGAAAGACAAAAAACAAGATTAGCGTTCTTTCCATCAGAGATGTTCTACTGATTTATACATATGTTTTTTTCCCAGTAAACCAGGACATAGCCAGAGGTTAAACTGGAGATCCCTGCACATCCCTCCTAATTAGAGAAAGCCTTGGTGTTGAACAGAATGTGGGTTCAGATCCTGGTGTGGCCGTTGACCTTGGGCAGGATGCCTGACCTCTGAGACTTGTAAAATGGAGATCACAGTTACTGGTAGGTGTTTGCTGGCGAATCTTCTCCCATCCCCCACCCCAGAGGTGAGGAGAATGCAAAGAGACCTAATGAATATGAAGGTAGATGCTCTCAAGTGTACATACAGCTAGGTATTTCCTGTGTCATGAAAGCCATGGGGGCTGGTTTCTAGGGGCCAGAGTGAAGAGGTGGGGTCTGGGACCTCAGGGAGCTGGGTGCACCCCCCCCAGTGTCTCTGGAGCAGCACCCAGTCCCAGGGTGGGGATGTCCTTATTCAATGTCCCCCAGTTCAGATGCCTACTCCCTACACACCACCATCTGTTCCCACTTCCGCAGGGCCCCAGAGAAATGGGACAGAGCACTTGGGAGAGGGACATCCTTTTCCCAGTCGTCCTTTGAGGTAGAAATCCCTCAAACCCAACATCTTCCAGGGGCACTGACGTCAGCCAGAAGCAGGGCTGTGGAGCTTTTCTGGTAATCTCCTTCTTGAAGTGTCCACCTCCGGGAAGGACACCGCTGGGATGAGGCCAAGTCCCACAGCTGTTCAGCACCTGCCTGGCCTGGGGAGGCTTCCTGTGTGCCCACTCTGAATGTCACAATCCTGGGGCCCTGGGGGCAGGTGTGGTGGCTGGCCAATCCCCTCCCTGTCGCCACCCTCTGCAAGAAGCCAAATCAGCCCACCACCAGCTGACTCCTAGAGTCTCTTTCTTCAGGCACGAATGGAAACAGAAGTATCTGTCCTTCCCACTCCCCGTCCCTTGCCTGCCTTCCTCCCTGCCCCCATCCCCTTTAACGCTTCTTTCTTTGGTCATGTCACAGGCTTTGAAAGCCATTTGAATCTTGTGTAACTTGGTAGAAGATGGAAACTCTGACCCCTGGTCCCCAACCAGAGTTTTTCAGGCCAATGTGTCCCAGGATTTTAGTACAGACACAAGGATCTCCCCCACCAGCCCAGAGCCCTTTTAATGAGTGGTTTCTGTGTGCCGGGCACTGCGCCCAGTGCTTCATGGGCATTATTTACTTCTGACAACAATTTTGTGAGGGAGACACAAGGAGCTCTAGTTTACAGATGTGAAAATGGACATAAGCACTTGCCTAAGGTCACACGCAGCACGGCCTGTGCTGGGAGCCAGGTCTTAGGACTTCAAAGCTGAGCTCTCTGCCACCACGTTACACTTCTCAAAGCATGTTCCATGAATCATTCATTCCCCTAGGTCTGCCAGGAATGAAAGAGACCTGGGTCAAGCCTCCTAGGGAGATGCTAGCATCTCCACTTCTGGGAGAGTCTCAGACCGTGTTGACAGATGAAAGGCTCTGAGAAGTCCTGCAGGGAGTAAATCTGTTTAACTCTCTCTAACCTAATGTGTCCCGAACTTATTTGCACTTGGATCCCACCCCCTTTTTAAAAGGGACACTGTTACCATCCCAGAGAATGCTTTGGGAAATGCCATACAAGATCATATTACCTGTCGTGTTTAGATATTGCCTGGTACATATTGGAGCTCGAAAAATATTGGTTGGCTAAAACGAACATGTTTCTCCCATTTTCAGTCATCCTAAACAAATCCCCACTGTTCCTTGCCCTGAAAAGTCCCTCAGCTGTGGGAGATACCAGACCTACAGATAACCCACTCCTGATGTCACTCCTTGGTGGCTCTTCCAGGGCTGTGTTGGTCGTACGGGAAGAAAATCCCATTCAGGCAGCTCCTGAGGCCTGCCCTAGTTCAGCGCCTCGGAGCTCTCTGCTCTGAGGATGAAGGGAAAGGCCAGAGACAATTCTATTCAGTTTTGGCCACAGGAATATGGGTGTGGAAGAGGGTGTGGAACCTCTCCCAGCCCTCCTAGCCCTCCAAGCAGGACAATTCTGACCTTGAGGTGTCCTCCCCCCCCCCATTTCCACCTTCCTTCACTCCCTTCCTTCACTCCCTTCCTCTGCCTTGTACACCTCTTACTCCCTACCCTCCCGGACTCAGCCTGCACTCCGCGCTGGATTGGAATCAGAGGCCCCCATCGGGGACCGCGACTAAGCAGAGCTGCACCCCAGTTCCGGAGACTCTGGTGTAATTGCTGTGGGGTGGAGCTCAGCCCTCCCGTGCCTTCAAAGGCACCACCGACTCTCACCAATAGCCACGGCCCTTTCCCTCACCCTTTGGCGGCACCCCCTTGGCAAGCCTCCTACCCTGGTTGGGGGGCCAGTGCGCCCTCTCCTCCCCTTCCCGGAGAAACACAACCCCCACAGCGTTGGCATCCCTACAAACTCAGACTCCCAACTCAGCCTCACTTGGCAGCCTGGGGAGCAGCCCTGAGGCTCCTTGACTTCAAGCTGCTCCTATGCCGGCCCGAGCTCCCTCCCGACCCCAGGTATAACGCTTAGCTCCTTGTCTGCGACCGCAAAACAAAATTGAGGCCACTGGGAACACATGATCGCCATCAAATTCTTGCCCCCTACCGAGTCTGCTACCACCATCCCTCCTGCTTTCCTGTTAATTTTAGAAGCAGGCCAAAATCCAGGTCAGATCCCCCCAGCCTATGAAGTCAGGTCACCAGGGTCCAAATCCCATTTATATCACTTCCTGGCTGTGTGATCTTGACTAGGTCTCCTCATCTCCTCGGTGCCTCAGCTTCCCCATCAGTGACATGGGATAGTACTTGCCTTTACCTCATAGAGCTGATGGAAGGATTCAGTGAGATAAACCCCACAGATGGCTCGGCACAGTCTTGGCCCCGAGCAAATGCTAATGACAAGGGCTAGCTCTTGGTCCTTCCCCCTCGGCCCCCTCCAGACCTTGTTCCGTCATTATGAGCCTCTCCCCGCTTCTAGCTCATTGCTCTTGGCCTGTAAAGATGCACAAGTCCCTCCATCCTAGAAACCTCTTCTTGATCCTATGTTCCAGATTTCTCTTGTTTCTTCTCATCCAAACTTCTCAGAAGCTTGCTTTATCGGCTCACTCATTTCTTTATCTCCCGTCTGTTCCTTAGTCCACCCTGATGTGGCGTCTGGCCCTACCATGATTCTGACATTTATCGCCATCACCAAGGAGCTGGCCGAGGTCAGTGGGCACTTCTCAGTCCCTGACTTCTGCCTACTGCACTTGACTTTGTTGATCCTTTCCTCTTTTGTGGAATAGCTTTACTCCAGTGCCTCCTTAGCATACACTTGCTTCTCCTCGTACTTCCTCTACCTTCCCTGCTCCGGCCCCTCAGGGGTCCCTCATCCTCTGCTGGCCCCAGGAGTGCTATGGGTACCCTGAGTTTGTCCTTAGTTTATGAGTCTCCTCTGCACTCTCACGCTACCTTCAAGTGATCTTGGCAGTTCTTAGGGTCCCTGCTTCTGCTTGGTGATTGATACCTTTTATGGACTGAATTGTGTGCCCCCCAAATTCATATGTTGAAGCCCAACCTCCAGTGTGACTGTATATGGAGGTGGGGCTGCTAGGAGGTAATTAAGGGTGAATACGGTTATGCGTGCAGGGCCCTAATCTGATAGGACTGATGTCCTTGTAAGAAGAGGGAGAGTCACCAGAGATCTCTGTCCTTTTTGTGGGCTTGCACAGAGTAAACAGCATGTGAAGACACAGCAAGTCAGGAACACAGGTCTCACCACAAACCAACTCTGCTGGTACCTTGCTCTTGGACTTCTAGCATATTGAGCCATGAGAAAACAAATTTTGGTTGTTTAAGCCACCCAGCCTGGGGCATCTTGTTACAGCAGCTGAAACTCCTGTAATATCTAAGTGTATCAGTTAGCTTTCCCTGTATAACAAGCAATTCCAAAATGTAGTGGCTGAAGATAACAGCTTTTTACTTAGCTTACCTTTCTGCAGGTCCGCAGCTTGCTCTGGGCTCGGCTGGGTGGTTCTTCCGGTGTGGGCCAGGTCCACTCACGTGTCGGTGGCCGGCTGCTAGCTTGGCTGGACGCTGTTGGGTTAGGGTGGCCTCTGCTGGGCTGCCTCTTCCCTGCTCCATGCATTCTTGTCCCTCAGCACGTGGGGCTGAACTCGTTTTTACGGCAATGCAGCAAGGTTCCAAGAAAACGAGCAGAAGAGAGGTTTGGAAGGAAAAGCTTCAAACTAGAGGCAGAGATCTGGGTCTTTCCATTCACAACTGGTACCCTGGTCATTGATTTCTCAATATCAAGACACATTGGACAATGAACTAGGAATATAGAATAATAATTAAATAAGTAAATTCTGGGAAAGCACAGAGCACTTTAAAATGTAGGTGACAGGACTTGATAGGCATAGCATGAGGAAGCATGAGGAAAAAAGGCCTCCTCCTGGGCAGATGGTTTGGCGGACTGGATAGAGGGTGGAAACAATTTGCTGAGCACTTTTTTTTTTTTTTAAGATTTTATTTATTTATTTGAGAGAGAGAGCACAAGTGTGTAGGGTGGGAGGGCAGAGGGAGAGGGAGTAACAGGCTCCCCGCTGAGCAGGGAGCCTGATGCGGGGCTCCATCCCAGGACCCTGGGATCATGACCTGAGCCGAAGGCAGACGCTCAACCGACTGAGCCACCCAGGCACCCCCTTCTGGGCACTTATTATATACTGGATACTGTGCTAAGCACTTTGCACACAGAGAACATTGAGGTGCTTGAGAAAATGTCTCTGAGCCAGACTTGCTGCATTTGAAACCCAATTCTGTCACTGACCTGGAGAAAGTTACTTAACCTTTCTGTACCTCAGGCTCCTCATCTGTGAAGGAGTCACCATAAGGACACTTACCCCAGTGCCTGGCTGCCTCAGTCGGTAGAGCATGTGACTCTTGATCTTGGGGTCATGAGTTCAAACCCCACATGGGCCTGGAGCTTATAATAATAAATAATGGCACTTACCTCACTAGGCTGTTGTGCAGATTCAATGAAATAATACATGGGAGCTACACAGAAGTGCCCAGCTCATGTGGTGCCCCCATAAATATCTGCCATTGGCATTACTGTCTCATTGAATCCCCACAACCAACTTATGAGGTAGATGCCTTTATCTCCATTTTACAGGTAAGGAAACTGAGGCCTGGAAAGGTTAAATAATGGCTCTTGCATCATGGCTGGGATGTGGCTTTGGACCCAGGCAGCCATAACTCTAGAACCTATGCTCTTAACCACCCCTTCCTCCATGCTCCCCCACTTACCATTCATCAACAGCAAGAGAACATGTGTGAGGTTGAAGATAATGAATTTGGTTTGAGATGTCGATGCAGAGTTTCCTCGAGGACATCTAGGTAAGAGACTTCTGGTCCACAGTTGGGTTTGTACATGGAGTATAGGAATCAAGACACTGTAGACAGATGGGGATTGAGTTGTGGGTGATAAGGTCACACAGGGAGATGGGGTAGCATGACAACAGAGGAGGGTTCGGGACACATTTAAAGAGTAGATGGAGGAAAAGGAGTCTGAGGACAGGCCGCCAAGAGAAGGGAAAGGGAGGTCTTGGAAGGAGGGAGACCATACGTCTGAGTTTGCCTGGGAGATTCTTGGTTTATGACAGTTAGCCTGGCATAATAATTCATTAGTGCCCTTTGTCACTTTAAGCAATGACCCAGTTTGGAAGACAAATGATATATTCACCCTCCTTAGAGGGTCAAGGAGGTGAAAGTATCAGGGAGGAGGAAATGCAGGTGTAAAATATCGCAGAAAGAACAATAACATGTTTGCTAAGTGGTACATTGGAGTTGGATTTGGCAAACTGATGACCTTGAGAGAGGTTTCTGAGGAAAGAGGTGGTGAATAGATTCATGCTGACATCTGAAGAAGCAGTAAGTAGAGATAACACATATGCACAAGTCACTGTTTTTGACCAGGGAGGCAGAGGTAACAAATAGACAACTCTGTCCTGATGGAATTTATTGTGTATGTGTGTGGTTTTGGAAGAATAAAGCAGAGTGACATGATAGAATCACTGGAATTTATTTGAGGCCCATGGTGGGGAGGTGGGAAGCCCTCTCAGAAGCTGTAACACTTGACCTAAGAATTCTGTGAAAAGAGCAAGCCTGCCTGTGAAGTTTGAGGGATGGAAACTTCCAGAGAGAGGCAAGAGTTCATGCAAAGGCACTGAGGTCGGAGTTTGAAAAACAGAAAGAAGATCATTGAGGGTGGCAGTGGGCACCAGAGGGGAGAAGATGGATTCCAGAGCTAGGAGGAGTGAATTGACAGCCCTTGGTGACAGACTGGCTATGAGGGGGAAAACAGAGGATGGTCTAGGAAGGCTTCCCATGTCAACTTTGGAAATGTGGGTACCTGCTCCTCCCTACCCTCAGACAGAGCCGGCAGAAGAAACTAGTTTTGATGGAATGCAATGAATTATGTAGTGAGTTGAATAGTGGGTTATCCACTTGGACATATCCTTTGTCCAACCATAACCTGTGAACCTGTGAATGTAAACTTACTTGGAAGAAGGGTCTTTGCAGATGTAATTAAGGATCTTGAGATAAGATTATCCTAGATTTAGAATGGGCCTTAAATCCAATGGCAGGTGTTCTTATAAGAGAAAGGCAGAGGGAAATCTGAGACATACAGGGGAGGAGAGAAGGCCATGTGAAGATGGAGGCAGAGATTGGATTCCTTATAGTCACAAGCCAAGGAATGCCCGGAGCTACCAGAAGCTGGAAGAGGCAAGGAAGGATCCTCCCCTAGAGCCTTCAGAGTGAGCATGGCCTAGCTGACACCTTGACTTCAGACTTCTGGCCTCCACAGCTGTGAGAGACTAAATTCCTTTGTTTTAAGCCACTAGGTATGCGCTAATCTGTTATAACAGCCACAGGATACTAATACAAACTATTCCATGTCGAGGGTGGGGAGCTAGACAGAGGTGTTGGCTGGGCGAGTGGCTACATGGAGCACCCCTCAGGAGAGTAGCCAGGCCTGGAGATAAAGCTTTCAAAGGCGGTTGAGCAGGTGGTAGTTTAAATCAGTGTTTTTTTTTTTTTCTTAAGTAGGCTCCATGCTCAGTGTGGAGCCCATCGCGGGGCTTGAACTCATGACCCTGAGATCAAGACTTGAGCTGAGGTCAAGAGTCAGACGCTTAACCAACGGAGCCACCCAGGTGTCCCTAAACCAGTGTTGTTTTTGAGGGGAAGCTGGAACACGGCTCCAGAAGCTCTTTCTCAGAAGCACAAAACAAAAAGCTTCCCAGATTTTTAAAACCAGACTTCCCTCAGCAATATAACCAAACACCCACACTATATATATCAATGAAATGTAATGTTCATATCAAAGAATCTGTTTGTATGCATTTTAACATCTCCCAATAAATGAAAGAATATTTTTGTCAGATTATTTTAAGTCAGGAATGCTCGAATTTCCTTGAACTTCTGGGTCTGCTGTGAGGCTAGCCCATTTTACAGCAGGCACTACTGAGAACATGTAAGGAGAAGGGTTTATAGGTTAGAAGGAAGCACCAGAAACAGTAGTTATTAGCTGGTGAAACTGCAGAGCATAAATTCCTCCCGATGCCCCCTGAGGGGTCAGACCAAGTGTTTCCGGGCACACACTGCATTTGTACATCCTCTTTATTGCTCCCCTCAAAACGCTTCCCCTCACAGAGACTGCAGAAGGGACATTCCACTCTCAGTCCCTGGTGTACCTTTAACGTTTGCAGGGCTTGGGCCAAGAGTACAAATGGAGGCCCAGATTGTGCATATGCAAGAATCTACCCACTATTAAACCCATAAACCATTCATTAGTGTATAGTTTGTCTCTCTACACTGACAATTCACTTTCCAGTGGAAAGTCCAGGATTGAAGTCAGAATGGTCAGGTTTTTTGGCGTTTGCACTGGAGTGTGGAACGTGGGCAGGGCTCCCTCCTGGCCCCTTCTCCTCCCACGACCTGCTCAGCAGCACACCTGGAGGGGCCTTTCAGGATAGAGATTGACACCAGGGCGCAGGGCCAAGCTTCGGCCACATGCACCTGCAATCAGTGCCCCAGGTCACCCTCAGGCCTAAGCACTGCAGTGGCTCCAGAGAATGGCCCAGAAAAGAGGCCCTGCATAGGCCCTAGAGTTGGTTTGGGCCATTTGGAGCAGGAAATTCTGGGATCTGGGGGAAGGGCATGGACTCTGGATAGGTTTGGTCCCTTGGCCCTGTGGATTCCTTGGCCAGTGAGAAGGGGCACAGAGAACAGGACCCAGGACAGGGGCTCCTCTTGCATGGGTAGATCTAAGGGTTCTGGTCAGTAGTCACCCTAGCAAGAGACTCAGAGAAGTAGACCAAGACCTGGCCATGGTCATGCGTGGACTTTCTTGTGTACTTTTTAGGTTCGACAAAATGCCAGATTAAGAAATGAAATACCGGGCGCCTGGGTGGCTCAGTTGGTTGGGCGGCTGCCTTCGGCTCAGGTCATGATCCTGGAGTCTCTGGATCGAGTCCCGCGTCGGGCTCCCTGCTCGGCGGGGAGCCTGCTTCTCCCTCTGGCCCTCCCCCCTCTCATGTGCTCTCTGTCTCTCTCATTCTCTCTGTCTCAAATAAATAAATAAAATCTTTACAAAAAAAAAAAGAAATGAAATACCATAGCTATTTTGAGCCCTGATTAATAAGCACTATTATCATACCAATATTTCCTTGAGTTTTAGAAATCAAAGGTCAAATCCCTAAAAAGTTTTGAATATAGTAAAATAAGACCTTAATGAAGCAGTATCTTGGGTGGCAGTGCTTTCCGGAAGTTTTTTCCCACTTCTTTCTTTCTTCCTGCCTTCCTCCCCTCCCTCCTTTCAATTGCTCTCCCTTTTTCCAAAGCAGGAAGAGCCAAAATGAAAATCATAGGCTTCGATGGAGTCAACTAGGGAAAGTGCAGCTAAAGTACAAAACGAGAGGGCCATGGCAGAATTCCAGGAAATGTCAATATCCAATAATCAAGCCAAGGAAGAGCTTCTACCAAGGAGAGTTCTGGAGTGGGATGGGAGGGAGAGGAGAGACTAGGTCTCCATAGACTGGGGAGGAAAGAGTTCCACAGGAGGGAGTTGTCCAGAAGAGCAAATGCCTCCAGGGGCCGCCATCTTCCTGAGACCAAGTGAAGCAAGCCTGGTCCATGCCTCTTCCGCCACAGTCCCTCAGCCTCTCTGGAGAGCACCAGATTTTCCTCATCCCGCCTCTGGGCCTCTCTAGTCCTGCCCTTTCTTTTCTCACCCTACCTTTCCCTGTTTTATCAAGGCTGTCCACATCGTTCACTTCCCAACCTCCATCTCCCTGCTTGGTCTCTTCCTTGAACCTCCAGCAGAACAATGGATCCCAAGCATGTGCTTTGCTCAGGGAAGATGCTCACCTGATAATGGTTCAGTGAAGTTGTCCAAAATGGAAATGTTCACTAGTATTCCTGATTCCCAAAGCAAGGACAATCTATTTCATCTCTGGAGAGAGAAGTGTGCACACTCAGCCCTTTACCCTGTGGTCTTCCTGTCCCCTCAACACTGGAATAGTCTTGTCCTTTTCCCTGCTCCCCAGAAATGCTCTTTCCTTGGCCTAGAATGTTCTCCCCACATCCTATTCTCCCAGATCAAATGTCACCTCTTGGTGACTCCTCAGGCAGGAAGACTTTTCCCAATATTGTGTGTGAGTTAACCTCTTATATTTTTCATTTTATATTTTCATTGTGTCCTCTCCCCCACCAAACTGTAAGGCTGGTAGGGAAAGTTTACTTTACCTAGTTTTATAAACCAAATCTAAGTGCCCCAAATTTGTAGAACATAGTACTACTCTCTCATAGAAGTTTATTTAAAAGGTCAAATTTAATGAAGCAATCAGAGAAGATTTTGTTCAAGAATTCTCCAATCTTTGTTAATCTGCTTTTTTTTTTTTTTTTTTAAATCCCCAGTCTTCCAGGGGTCAGCCGCACTGGATAGATCCAGGTTTTAAAAGGGCAACCTAGGGCGCCTGGGTGGCTCTGTCGTTAAGCATCTGCCTTCGGCTCAGGTCATGATCCCAGGGTCCTGGGATCGAGTCCCACATCGGGCTCCCTGCTCGGCGGGAAGCCTGCT